GGCAGGGCGGGAAAGTGCTGCTCTCAACCGACACCGCCCACGCGAGACGCGACGGCGAAGCCAACGCAAGATGGCGGGCGCACAGCCTTCTGCGCACGCGCGCCGGCCCCGCCCGCGGGAGCGGAAGTCGCGTGACCCCGGAAGTAGCCGTCCGGGCGGCGGGCGGCCGACGACGTTCGTCATTTGCTGCGGGAGGGAGTGCTAGCGCGGCGGTCGAGCCTCCGGTGAGTGGCCGGCGGCGCGCGGCGCGGCGAGGGGAGGGGCTGCCTTTGTGCCGCCGCCTGGCCCGCGCAGGGTCTCGCGGGCGGCGGCAATGCGGCGGCGGCGGCCTCCCGGCGGGCGGGGCGGGCCGGGGGCGCTGCGCAGGCCCCGCCTGTGCGGGCGCCTCTCTTCGGGCCGCGGCGCGGAGGCTGGGGTAGGGGCGCCCCCAGGGCTGCACGCCGGGCCTCCGGGGTGGGCGCCCGCCGCCTGCTCCCGACGCCAGGCCGCGCCCCGCCCCGCCCCGCCCGGATTGCAGGCCCTGCGGAAGCGCGGGCCGCGCCCAGGGATGCTATCGCCTGCGGCCACGTTCGGGCGGCGTCCGGCGGCGTGCTTGCGGGAAGCGGTGGCGTGGATGGGCTCACGGGCCACCCCCGCCTCGCGAGTCCCGACGGCCCTATATTACCGCGTTTAGGCCCCTCCCTGGGCCCGAGGAGGGAGGCGCTGCGCCCCGACCCCTCCGTACCCCCTCGGAGATTGCCGAGTGGGATTCCGGGTGTTCTTAGAGCCCCTGGGGGCTGATCGGTGCCCAGGCCGAAGGAGGCTCGTCTGCGACAGCGCTGTCGCTGCTTGGTTGGCACCGCCCTAGGCGGCTGCTCCACTTGTCCGAGGGTCCTGAGAAGACTGATCCTGCAGCAGTCCCAAGTTGTAGCCAGGAATGGTGACGACCTCGTGCCTCTTTGGGGCCTGTGAGGTCCGGAGGTCCCGGACATCCGAGCTGTAGCACAGCACATGTTTGCCTGCACGTGGCTCCGACAGGGAGCTTCCCTCTTCGGGGCTCTCAGCCCCAGGGCTCAGTAGGGATCCCTTGGGTGAGGGCCTGGAACTTAGAGGCATAGCAGACAGTAGGGGTTTAGTGTTGGCCCTCCAGTTGGGTCTGGGGTCTGTGCCTCTGCTGGGGAAGGAAAGATGTGCCTTTATCTCCCCGAGGAGCAGGCTGCGTTCCCATTTAGTCTCCTGCTTGGGGTGGGGTCCTTTCAGAATGCCCCCCTGAGCCGGAGGGGCAGGTGGCTGGTGAGTCTGAGGGAGCAGCCCCTGCTATTCAGACTCACCAGCCACCCCTTGTCCTGCTTCCTGCACTCTGAGGCCTGGTACTGTCCAGGCTGTCATAATCCTGCCTACCCACAGGTGTCCCATACCCAAGCTAGAGGTGAGCATGGCAGAACAGGAACCCACAGCCGAGCAGCTGGCCCAGATTGCAGCTGAGAATGAGGAAGACGAACACTCAGTGAACTACAAACCCCCGGCCCAGAAGAGCATCCAGGAGATCCAGGAGCTGGACAAGGATGATGAGAGCCTGCGCAAGTACAAGGAAGCCCTGCTGGGCCGCGTGGCTGTCTCTGCTGGTGAGTAGCCCCTTGGAGTAGGGACAGAGTGGGGGCCCATCAGAGCAGCAGCTCTCCTGCAAGGACACCTGTCACTCTGCTTAAGCCTCTGCTCCACTCCACTGCCTGCCTATCTGCTGAAGGAGAAAGACCTAGTGGGTGGGAGTGGGGCTCCAACTTGCTGTCTTTCCCCAGACCCCAACGTCCCCAACGTCATCGTGACTCGCCTGACCCTGGTGTGTAGCACTGCGCCAGGCCCCCTGGAGCTGGACCTGACAGGTGAGAGGGGGAAGGGGACACTGAGGTCCCTGGGTGGGGCTGGCTGGCACCCTGCTGCTGCCCCTAAAAATAATTTCCTGTAGCACAGGGGCCCTCTGGTGGGGCATGCAGGAAGTGCAGCGAGGTGCTACTGGAGGTTCTGCTTTGTGTTGGGGGGAGGAGATGGGAGGGGGTGGGAGTGAGGGAGCTGGACAGTCGGCTGAGCCTCTTCCCCAACACAGGTGATCTGGAGAGTTTCAAGAAGCAGTCCTTTGTGCTGAAGGAGGGTGTGGAATATCGGATAAAAATTTCCTTCAGGGTAAGGCCAGGACTTGGGGAGGCACTGGGGGAGTATGGCTGGAGAACCTGGCTGACCTCGCCCTGGGTTCCTACAGGTGAACAGAGAGATCGTGTCAGGCATGAAGTACATCCAGCACACATACAGGAAAGGTGTCAAGAGTGAGTAAGGGGCCAGGTGTGGTGGTGCTCAGCTGTAATCTTGGTAACTCAGGAGGCAAGAGCAGGAGGATCACAAGTTTGAGGCCAGCCTCAGAAACTTAGCAAGACCCTGCCTCAGAATATTTTAAAAAGATCTGGGGGTGTAGCTCAGTGCCTCTGGGATCAATCCCCAAGACTTGGCGGGGCATGTAAGAGCGGGCAGCTGTGGTCTTCCCCAGAGGGCCATTGGCACTGGTGACCGTACCCTTTCTTGTGTTCTGCAGTTGACAAAACTGACTACATGGTGGGGAGCTATGGACCCAGGGCAGAGGAGTATGAGTTCCTGACGCCCATGGAGGAAGCACCCAAGGGCATGCTGGCTCGGGGCAGTTACAACATCAAGTCCCGCTTTACAGATGACGACAAGACTGACCATCTGTCGTGGGAGTGGAATCTCACCATTAAAAAGGAGTGGAAGGACTGAGCCCCTGCCAGGAGGCAGGCAGGGCAGACGGACAGACGGACATGTCCCACCCCACTCCCCTCCCCATCCCAAACCAAAGTGCTGACAGGGCCCCTTCCCTGCCACCATCCCACCTGGCCCACAGGAAGCTCCTCAACCCTCCCTCTCCCACCCTCCCGCCTGCAGGCCCTTGTGGTCTCTAGTGTCATGTTGCTGCTTCTGCCTGTGCAGGGGTGGGGGGGCATCCAGCCCAGGCCACTGCCCCCTCTGTGTCTTGCCAGGTTCTTTCTGCCTGTCCTACCCCAGATTCTGGCTTTTAGGGAGTGGAGCACTGTCCAGGTGCTCAGCCCACTTTGTCTCTGCCCAGTTGAACTGGGGTACATAGTGCAAGCCCCTGCCAGCTGGCCTCTGCCCCACCACTCCCTGGCCACTTCATCCATTGCTGTCAGTCACCGTCTAACCATGATGCCTTAACATGTGGAACGTGTATTGGGGGGCCTTCACTAACTCTTAACTCCCCCTGTCTGCATGAGCATGTGGTCTCCCCTGTCCCTGCCCTGTTTGTGATCTTGGTGACCCAGGGAGGCCTGGGGTGTGCTGCTGCCCAGCCTGCCAGGGCCTAGGAAGCCCCTTCCCCTCTCTGGACTAGGGTTTGAGGTGATGCCAGCAGTTTGGGGAGGGCCAAATTGCCAAACTCCATGCCTCCAGCCCCATCTGGGAGGCAGGTATGCTCACACCTCTGCCTTCTCTGACCCAGGAGGCACTGCTCAGAGCCCTTGAGGGATAAAGCCAGCGGCAGAGCCTTACTTGTCCCACCTGGGCCCTGTGGCCTGGAACCTTGTGCCTGGCCTGTCAGTATTTATTGCCTCCATTTGTGCCGTCCTCTGGGCTGGCTTGCCTGCTGCCTCTGCCCCGGCTCTCAGTGCCACCATCCTGGGCAGGCCCTCCTTGGACCCAGCCAGGACAAAAGCGGGACCAAGCACACACAACTGTTGGGAGCTGTCTCCTGTGCCTCCCCTCCCTGTCCCCGTGTGGTGTCTGCCAGGCCCAGGCTTCGACAGGCAGAGGAGCCTCCCCTGCTTCTCTTCCGACCGGGAAATAAACACCCTTGAAGGAGACTGGATTTGCTGCTTGGGGTTGCGGAAATTTTGTGATCCTAGCAGGGAGGTAAAGCAGAGGCCCCTCGGGTCACAATCCCTTGTTAGGGGTTGAGGTCCACCACTCCCAACCCTGTGGGGATACAGCTAACTCTAGTGAGAAACACAGAATTCCCCTTCTATCATATCACCCAAGCGCCATAAATCCAGAACCTCTAAGAAAGCCGAGTGGTGGGTAGCCCACCATGCATTTTGCTAACATAGTGGTAGCTTCCCCTCCATTATCCACTGAGGCCCCATGTGTTGCTCACATGGCACAGCCCAGGCATCTCAGGAAATGTTCAGTTCTGCTGAAGGGGGGGAACACAAGAACCCCAGAGAGACCCTGTGTGGGGCTGCCAGATGTTGGTGAGAGGCTGAGGCTGGTGCAGGATGGCAGTCCCCCATTGTAGTCAGGGTCCTCTGAGATGGAAGGGCCAATGACCTACATGGGATTGAGGGGACCACCACACAGCAGGAGAGCTGCTGGGATACCCTGAAGGTTAACAGGCTGCAGATTGGGAGCTTCCCACCTGCAGTGATCTCATTCCATGCACCTGTCCTGGACAGATAGGGTTAGACCAACCACCAGTGACAGGAATCACTCCAGAAACTCCCCTTGGCCTGATGCCAGCTTTGAAACCTGTCCTCTGTGTCTGTGCTGCTCAAGAGAGGCGGATTCTTAGCTTAGGCAGCTGCTGCCACAAAGCCATCTGACCCTGCCTCCGTGGACCCATATAAGTGTTGGTGCTGAGCAGTCAGGGATCCTTGGCAGGAGCTTGTTGCCAGTTAGTCCAGGAGATGCCCACTGAGACCCACCTCAGGCTGCTAGCCACCTTGGTCATCCTTGCTAGGTTCATGTGAGAACCAGAACTGACCTGGAGCTGGCCCTCAGCAGGATGGCCTACCAACAGCAGGGAACTGTAGGAGTTGGCCAGCCAGACCAGGAAAGACCTTACCCAGTCTCAGAATGGGTTCTGGTCCAGCTGAATTGACAGGCAGGGTGAGGCAGTGCCCTGAGGGTTCACCCAGGCTGACCATCTCAGCTCAGAAGGAATGGGCGCCTAGGCAGCAGCCTTGGGCACAGGGGCTCACACCTCTCCAGCTCCTTAAAACGTTCCATCTTATTGCCAGCAGTTGTTTATTGGGCAAGGACTTCTGAGGCTCACATCAGGCCAAGAGGCTTGATCTTTTTGCTCTGGGGTTTTCCAAGCTTGTTAGACATGTGAACTCAGACCCTGAGTGCCAAGTTGTACAGGCACATGGCCAACAGCCAAGACTTTGCTCGAGCTCCTAGGGGAGGATAACAAAGTTGCACTTGCAGAAGGTGCATGACGTGTCTCAAGTCCCAAGTCTAACCTGATCCTCCTGGTCCCACCCTGACCTGTTGTACAGCTTGATGCTGCTCCAAGGCTGGCCTCCCAGGTCCACAACCCATGCCCTCTTCTCACCTCCCTTTATCCACAGGCCCCAGAAATCCCCAAGCTTCCACCTCCTCAGCATCCACAGACAGGCCCTTCTTCTGTGAAGAGGCCATAACTGGTGCCAGCTGAGGTCAGGATCTAGATGTGACCAAGCAATCGCCAGGTACTGATTTACCACCACTGCCCTGCTCTCTCCCGCACGCCTGTCTCAGAATTGGGCACAGAAGCCTAATACAGCAAAAACCTGCAGCCAGTAGCCCTCTAGGTGCCCATGAACTTGCTGGTGACCCCTTTACACATCTAGCAGGATAGCAGGTGCAGGCTAAAGGAAGCTGTGTTCTAAGAACGCTTGCTTTTTTTTTTTTTTTTTTTGGTAGCGCTGGGGATCAAATACAGGGCCTTGTGCGTGCAAGTATATTTGAGGCTGGGAATGTAACTCAGCTTAGTAGCAGAGTGCTTGCCCAGCATATACAAGGCCCTTAATTCACTCACCAGTAACACACACACACACGCCAGGGAGGGGGTGGTTGAAAGTAGCTTTTTCCCCTCAGTACTGGGAATTAAGCCCAGGAGCACTGACCACTTAGCTACCTCACAACCCTTCTGATTATTTTGAGATCAGGTCTCACTAAATTGCCCAGGCTGGCCTGGAATTTGCCATCACCTACTTCAGGTTCCTAAGTCCCTGGGATTACAGTTGTGCACCACTGTATCCAGAGAGGGTAATAGTAATCAAAACATGTTGACTCAGCAGGAAACCATGTTTAACAGGTAACATACTCTGAGTGTGACACTCCCTGGAAGATGTCCAGAAGCACCTATATGGCCAGTCACTGCCCCAGGGAAGGCCGACCCCAAGGACATACTCCTTGAAGGCCTGAGCACAGGATGAGTGACCCATCTCATCAGCCCTCTGCTCTGGGCTGAGGCCTACAGGTATTCAGACAGGGTGGCCTATATCCAGGGAAGTAGAATGCACTGTGGGTGCCCAGGGGTCTCTCAGGCCTCCTGCGGGGCTCATAAGAACCAACTTTGCTGTACCTGCTTAAGTTGAAGAAGGCTGATTCAGGAAGGACAAGGTACCAGCAAGAGCTAGCTGCCAGGGTAGCCATGGCAGCATGATCACCTGGGGGGAGTGCTGCTGGATGCCCTGATTTTCATAGAACATCAACTTAGCCACAGCCACCTAGGCCACAGAACAGCAGCCCTGCTCTCTGCTACTCTGGCTGGGCAGTTCCCCAAACTGAAGCGTGTTCAACTGCCCTTGGCACGAGCCACTGTAGGCCCAGAGCCCACCTTAGACGGTAGAGTCTAAGCTACTTTGATCCTTGTCTGATCTGTGCACCTGCAGTGGCCTCTGCTTGTTTCTGGTGATGTAGATGTGCACATTTCTTCTTCATAGTTTATGTTCTGGAACTAAGATGCCTTCAAACCATCACGAGCTAATCCACAACAGTACCCTAAATCCCTTCACTTCCCATCAATGGACAAAATACTAACCTCCACAGTTAGAAAATCTGAACTCAAGTCTTTTGTCTTGGGCCCCAAATCTTGGTTTGTAAAACAAGTCAAGGCAAGCACAAAAATAGACCAGTTCATCGGATCTGAAGCAGTCATCACCCCACAGTGGCATTATGAAGAGCTGCAATTCAGTGGAAAAGCACCTGGTCAATCCTATTGAACTGGGGCGCGACACTGGTTCATAGTCCGCCAGGCCTGAAATGTCACACCTGGGAACCTGGGAAAGACCCATGCTGGTCTCCATCTTGCAATATGGGTTTCGGCTTCCACAGTTGCAGCAGTTTCAGGTATGAGCTACATGAAGGTAGCACTGGGTCTTGAAGGCAAGGAACTCACACTCCAAGTGGAGTGCCACGCAGGAAAGGTGAGATGCACACTCTCAAGAACAAGTCTCTGGGGGCTGGGGATGTGGCTCAAGCGGTAGCGCACTCTCCTGGCATGCGTGCGGCCCGTGTTCGATCCTCAGCGCCACATACAAAGATGTTGTGTCCGCCAAAAACTAAAAAATATTAAAACAAACAAACAAACACAAAAGAACAAGTCTCTGGGCAAGGTGCCCACGCCTGTACTTCCAGCTAAGTGGAGGGCCGAGGCAGGAGGACCACAAGTTCGAGTTCAACCTGGACAATTTAGCCAGATGCCGTCTCAAAAAGGCTGCGGGCGTAGCTCAGTGGTAGAGCATTTGCCTGGCATGCGCGAGGCCCCGGGTTCCATTCCCAGTTCCTCCAACAAACGTCCCCACACGCACCAAGCCTCAGAAGTACAAGAACACCCTCCTGTACTTCACCCTCCCGACCATCGGGACGGGGCTCGGCCGGGCGCATCTCCGCGGGGAGCTGCCCCTTGCTGCTGCTGAGCGCACCAAAGGGGCGGCGGCCGAGGCCACGCGGGCAGCCCCACAGACACCGGGCGTGGGCCTCGTGTGCGACTTAAGTTCCTAGGAGCCACGGAAAGAGGAAAACGCCACTTCGACAGGCGGCCAAAACCGCGCTACCGTCGACGGGGTTGTGTCCCGCCCGCCCGCCCGGCCTCCGGGTCTGGCACGGACCAGCCCTCGCTCGGAGACCGCGGAGATGCTCGGAAGCGGATCCGAACCGCGCCACCGCCCGCTGACCCCGCAGGCGACACAGGCCTTAAGACCGCCGCCTGGCCCACCCCGCCGAAGCCGCGCCAAGCACTGAAGGTGCCCACCTGTCGGACCCCACGCCTCTGCAGGCGCTGCACGGGCCGCACGCGCGACGGAAATTGCGTCAGCCAGGCTTCCGGCCGGCAGTCCGGGGGCGGTGCCCGTTACGGACACGCGGTCCAGTCAGAATGCAACACGAGGGGTTTCGGAGGCGCAGGCGCAGCTCCGCCCCGACCCGGGACTCCGCCTCACTGCCACGTTCGACGGAGGGACGCGCAGGGTGCGCGCGAATCTCGGCCAATCAGAAGCCACAGAGCCCCGACAGCCGAAAGAAGTAGCCATTCCAGAACCGCGAAAGGTGTGGATGAATATCACCAGTCAGAAGTCGAGGGAGAGAAAGTTCTCCGCTCGGAGCCAATCAAAATCTGGAGAGCGGAGCGAGCGCGAGCGCCGCGGCCAATCCTGGATGAGGGCGAGGAAGGACTCCGTAGCGTTTCCGACTCCGGGGCCGGGCCTGGCATGGGCGACCAATCCGTGCACGGCGAGGGCGGGCCCCGCAGCTCGCCGGCCAATTGGAGGGCCCCTAGGGGCGCGTGCGCGCGGCGGCTGGCGCGCGCGACGGGTTATTGGGCGCGTCCCCGGACCAGGATTTATAAAGGCGAGGCCAGGACCGGCGCGCGCTCTCGTCGCCTCGGCTGTCCCGGCGGCGCCAACCGGACCGCCCCGCCCGCTCCGACGTCCGACATGCTGAGCCGCGCTCTGCTGTGCCTGGCCCTGGCCGCGGCGGCCCGGGTGGGCGCCGACGCCCCCGAGGAAGAGGACCACGTCCTGGTGCTGAGGAAGAGCAACTTCGCGGAGGCGCTGGCGACGCACAAGTACCTGCTGGTGGAGTTCTGTGAGTGGCCGGCCTGGCGGGCGGGGGGCGCCGCCGCGGTGCGGCCCTGCGCGCGGCGGGCCGGGTCGGCGGGCCTGCTGGCTGTGCTGGCCCGTGGCCGCGCCGAGCTCGGCCTGGCCCGTCGCGGCCCGCCCCTCGCCGGACGCGCCTGCTGTCAGCTCGCTGCCCCCGGCCGCCCGGAGGGCATCCTTCCTGCCCGGATTGGAAGCGTTCGCGTCCCGGGCTCCTCGAGAGTGGCTGCCCGGCGGAGAGCCAGGGAGCTGTCTTTGTGTCCGACGTCCACATGGCAGGAACCCTCGGTTAGCTGGGGGACGCTGGACGGACCTGTGTGAGCCGTGGCAGACCCCACAAGCCGGGCTCCAAGCCGGGTCCGGCTCTGCTGATTACTCAGCTGGACTGACCCAGAAATGCCCAGCTCCTGCCCGCGCCACCCTTAACCTGCCCTGGCTTTCCTGTCGTGTAGCCAGTCCGTCTGAGGCTTTTGCTTGTTAACAAGTATTTGGGCTCCCACTGTCTCTGGGCTGGGAACCTTATGCCACCACATCTGCTACCCTTCCTTGGCAGATTGTGTTATCCCCACCTATAAAGAACGGTTTTAGATGAGAATGTGACAGGTGCAAACTTCGCACAGATGTGTGTCACATACTCATAAGCATTTTTTGGTTGGTGTAAGGTTGGGCCATCAAACCTTTGACTTGTCCTGGGTTCTTAAAGGGAAATCCTAGGGACACATTGGTCGTGATGGCCTGCAGGTTATAGGAAGTTACCAATCTAGAGGGTGTGTCTTCCTGTGCTGGTGGTGACGGAGCAGAACAGGGATGGTGTTGGTGTGTCGATCGTTGATGGCCTCTGTCCTGAAGTTGCCCAAGAGCAGCAGCTATCAGCTCAGCCTCCTGGGTTAGGAGGCCTTATCTTGGTGTGCAGATAAGGTTTTTATGAAGGGAAGAAGCAGTGGGACGGGATCGAGGGCTGCTTTCCAGTGTCCCACTTTCTTTTCCAGATGCCCCTTGGTGTGGCCACTGCAAAGCACTGGCCCCTGAGTATGCCAAAGCAGCTGGGAAGCTGAAGGCAGAAGGTTCTGAGATCCGACTAGCAAAGGTGGATGCCACTGAAGAATCTGACCTGGCCCAGCAGTATGGCGTCCGAGGATACCCCACAATCAAGTTCTTCAAGAACGGAGACACAGCCTCCCCCAAGGAGTACACAGGTGTGACCGCGGTGCAGGCCTTGGAGGCGACCTAACTGAAAGCTCATCCAGTAGTGTATCTGAGGTGGGGGCCCGTTTTCAGGGGCTCTGGGGGGGACTGTGTTTGCAACTGATCCACACCTGAGGGTCCTGTGAGGAAGTTCTCTCCCTGGAAGACCCTCTCAGGTGGAGCATGCTATGTCTGATGGCCTCTGGGGGGCCTGCTGGCAAAGCTTGTCTGGAGATGGACTAGAAAGGGGTGACAGCCACCACACTCAAGCATCCAGGCAGGCCCTCAGCTACTGTCCTGCCACCTCCGGGGCAAATCAACAACTGGTGGCAAAGAAGCGCTTTCTGGTCTCAGATCAGTTCTGCAGAATGTCTGTCAGGCCCATGTGCTGAGCAGCCTGAAGCTGCCCGTCCCAGGGTCAGCAGAAGTACCGTTCAAGCAGTCTTATCCTAATCAGCATCAGCCACTCTGGTTGCCTCACTAGTAGACCCCACTATTTTTTTGGTACCAGACATTGAACCTGGGGTGCTTAACCACTGAGCCCCAGCCCTTTTTATTATTTATTTATTTGGTGCCAGGAATTGAATTGTGGGCACTCTGTCACTAAACCACATCCCCAGCCCCATTTTGTATTTTATTTAGAGACAGGGTCTCACTGCTTAGCACTTTGCCATTGCTGAGGCTGGCTTTTTAGTTTTTATTTTTTAGTTGTTTATAGATCTTTATTTGTATGTATGTGGTGCTGAGAATCGAGCCCAGTGCCTCACACATGCCAGGAAAGTGCGCTATTCCTCAGCCCCAGCCCCTGGGTCCCCACTTTTCAATGTGTGTTTAATCTTGCAATAGGGGGTGCCTTGTCCAAAGTTACCATCGTTCTCCACCAACACTTAGGTTTTGTAGATGAGACACCTGCTCCTAAATCCACTGGTAACTGCCAGCTCAGCTTTTTGTAGGCACTTGGCTGAAGAATCCTTGTCATTCTTGGGTGGAGCAGCACTTTGCCAGGTAGTCACACCCCAGGAAAGGAGGGGAGAGCAGTTTGTTGGCCTCCATCTGGCAGGAGCAGGCCTCTTTCTTATACCTGTGTGGCCTCCTGGCCTCCTGGATGGCATGCGGATACATATTCTTTCTCTAGTTCTTACCAGTCAGGGAAGTGGGTAAGGCTGGCCTTAGAAATAACTGGCCCACCAGGGAGTGTCAGAAAGTCAAGTTGAGCCTGTTTTCAAGGAAGGAGACCTGGCGTGGAGGTTGACATAACTAACCACATCTCAGGACTGGGGATATAGCTCGGTTGGTAGAGTGCTTCTCGCACGCACAAGGTCCTAGATTTGATCCTCAGCCCCCCACACACACACCAAAAAAAAAAAAAAAAAACGCCATATCTCCACGACTCAGCTTGGTATGAGAGTACTATGGGGAGAAAGTGTATGTGAGTTTAATGAAAAAAAAAATTTTTTTAATATTTTTATTTTAGTTATTGGGGATTGTTGAACCCAGAGGCACTTTATCACTAAGCTATATCCCCAGCCCCAACCCACCCACGTCTTGGGGTTTTTTGTTTTTGTTTTTTGTGGGAGGGGGGGACATGGTCTTACCAAGTTGCCTTGGCTGACTTTGAACTTATGGTCCTCCTGCCTCCGTCTCCCAAGTTGATGGGATTACAGGTATGTGCTACTGTACCCAGCAGAGTTTAACCAATTTTAATGTCCAAGAAAATTTAGAAAATGCAAGGAATTAGAAAAGGAAATCCTACCTCCCAAGGATGACACTCTTCCCTTCTTTAAGCATAACTGTGTTCTCAGGAAGTGGGTGGCCAGGGTATAGACCTACCTGTGGAGAGAACAGCTTGTTCTAGGGGTCAGTCAGGTGTCCTCAGCCTGCTGGGTGGAGCTCAGGCGAGAGGGTGCCAGGCATGGTAGGGGCACCCTGTCTGACTCTGGAACCTGCCTTTGTTGGGGTGCAGCTGGCAGAGAAGCCGATGACATCGTGAACTGGCTGAAGAAGCGCACGGGCCCTGCTGCCACCACGCTGCTCGATGGTACAGCTGCAGAGTCCTTGGTGGAATCCAGCGAGGTGGCCGTCATTGGCTTCTTTAAGGTAGAGCTTCAGAACTTGTAATCTGCTGTCACTTTTGAAGGAGGGGTCCCCATGGCTTGGACACTGCAGTGTCGGCTTTGCTGCTGTGCCAGGCAGGCTCCTGGGTGTCGGCGTGCAGCACCTCTTGTTTTCCTTCCGTTACAGGATGTCGAGTCAGACTTGGCCAAGCAGTTCTTGCTGGCTGCAGAGGCCATAGATGACATACCATTTGGGATTACGTCCAACAGTGATGTGTTCTCCAAATACCAGCTCAGCAAAGATGGGGTGGTCCTCTTCAAGAAGGTGAGTGGCCCAGGGCAGTGCAGGCGTTGCTCTGCAGGGGGTGCTGTTGCTTTTCTTACTGCTGGAGGCCTGTGGCTATCCTGAGTCCTGTCACAGATTGGCAGAGCCGGACTACAGGAGCCACTCAGTGGCCTTTGGACTTTGGAGTCTTTGGAGTGCAAGGCCTTTGGCCAGCCTCCCATGTTCTGGACCTCCTAAAGGACACAAGGGGAGTTGCTTTTTACTGGTAGCTTTTTTTTTTTCCACTGTGGCAAAGTTGATTATTTTACTTTGGGGGGGGGGGGCGGTAGCAGGGATTGAACCCAGGGTGCTCTTAACCAATGAGCCACATCCCACCGTTTTTTTTTTGTTGTTTTGTTTTGTTTTTTGTTTGTTTGTTTTTTTAATTTTGAGACAGGGTCTTGCTATATTGCTTAGGCCTTGATTGGTCACTGAAACTGGCCTCAAACTTGGGATCCTCCTGTCTCAGCCTCCATCATACCCAGCATTAACCATGCCCAGCATAGTTAAATGGCCAATTTGGTGACATTAATGGTGATCACAATGGCGTGCCACCATCACTGCTGTCTACTTCAGGTCCTCACACTAGATGGAAACTGGTGTGAACTCCCTGGGTATGTTCCCACTGGACAGGCAAAGCTGCAGTTCCTGGGCCTCCCACCTTGGAAACTGCTGATTCTGACTCTGTCCTTTCTCTTTGTAAGCCAAGTGTCCTTGAACCGAGTCTGCCTATTACAGGGATGCAGCAGGCTCCTCGTTGCCCGTTGTTGCCTGTGGGTTTGCTTGGAGCACAGCTGTACCTAGGTGTGTGTGCTCCGGGGTTAATGCCATCCAGGTGGCAGAGTGCACAGGGAAGAGGGAGAGGAAGCTGTATGAGAAGGAGACCACAGGAGCAGAGTAGGTGGGTGTCCTGGGTTGGGGAAGGATCTTGGAGTGCTGTCCTGTTCTGCTCCCAGCAGGAGGAAGCCTGCAGACAGTCGACTGTTTAGGAAGGATGCAATGTTGGGGGGAGAGGCTGCCTGGCTCCGTGCTGACCTTGTGTTTATGCAGTTCACCTATGAAACAGTTCTCAGGCTGGGGCTGAACACCTTGCATCTCCAGACTGGGGTGAGGAGGAGGAGGGCCCCTCCTAGCAGCTGCAGCTAGGGGGTGGGGTGTCCTTGCTCTTGGCATTTAGCCATTTTGCTAACTCCTTCCTCAAAAGAACCCCAGCCA